GGGGGGGGGGGGGGGGGGGGGGGGAAGGTGATGAAAATAGATCCAGGGTGGCCATGTCTGATTTCACCTGGGCCATACAACCAAAGCTCCTGCCAGACTGGCCTGCCCATCGAGACAGGTGTAGAAGCAGGGCAGATGGGGAGAGCTGTGTAAACTGCTGTGGGGGCACGAGCCCAGCTGTTCAAGTCGCACCCCTTTGACAGTAGGCAAAAGCCTTGTCAAATGGATTCACAACTAGTAGTAACATGTGTGTCCAACCCAGCCTCTCGTGGACCCTCTGGGTACTTGCTCCGATGTGGATAGGGAGCTCTGTAACTCCATCTACAGGACGGGACTGTATTTTCTCACATGGCATGTGCAGGACGTGGGTCAGCCCCAGAGATGGGTAAGGTACGGCCTTTTGGCCATCCTGGCTCTCCTCCCCACTGCAAAACGGCTGTGATTTTGTCCTCTGGCTAAAACGGGTCCCAAAGGAAGTGCTGAGTTGGCTGGAGAGAACAGCCAGGTGCTTGGGGTCTGGCTCTGTCCAAATCAAGGTGCCTCCCTGTGCAGTTGCTCCTCCATTTCCAGTTGTCCTTCTCATGTCCTTTGACCTGTTGGCAGCACAGCCTGATGCAGCCCCAGAAGGAGGGAGATGCAGGGGGTATAAGCCGTGGTGTCTAACCATGTGGGATCAACACAGGACAGAGACGTCTGGATCTGAAGTGAGGATGGTGGAGACTTAGCTCTGCATTGGCCTACGTGCCATAGAGGATATTTTGGTTCTTTCAGCTAAAATCGTGGGAGTGACGCATGATGCAAGGGAGAGGTGGCCTCCACCATAGCCTTGGCCATATTCAGCTGGTGAGGTCCCACTTCCCAATGACCTACATTACAAATGGCTTCGAACAGGTTCCTTCCAAGTGGGAGCCAAGATCCAGGCCCCTTACTGCCACACAGGTTGGATTTGCTTCCCGCTGGCCAATGAAAAGGCTCCCACTGATTCTGGGGCGGGGGGTGCAGGTGATTTGCTGTTCGTCCTGGCATTGTGGATTGTGCACAGACACTGCGTGACTTAACGTTTCTGTTGCTTCTCCAGAATGAGAGAGGCCTCATCACGCCCCAAGCGGGAGTATAAACCTAAGCCCAGAGAGACGTATGACTTTGGAGAGACCGACCAGTCCAACGGGGGCTTCGCTTGCAATCCTGCCCCCAAAGTTTCAGGTAACGAGGTCCGGTGTGTGCTACCCTTGTGGTCGCTGGTCTGGCAAGCAGCAGCCCTCAAAGGGATGGAGGGGATTTGCTGTACCTGGCAGATGAAAGGGTTCCTCTGCTGCATGTGCCTCAGACAGCCCAAAAGGTAGCAGAGATGCTTTGAAGCTGGGGCCTTCTGCCATCACAGCCCTTGGGTCCAGCAGGCAGTGCCCTGTGGCAGGCTGGTAGTTGTCTCAGAGTGGTAGATAGGAATGGGGGGTGCTTTTTCCCTCCCTCCATCCCCTGCATGTTGCATTCCAGCCCCTCTGCCAAACCCAGCATGTAGGATCCCCTCCCTCTCCCACCCCACACTTCTTAACTGCTCTCTCCCCTGGGGGTGACCGAGGGATTTCCTTGCAATGTTGTTTTTAAGCATGTCTCTTTCTTTTTATTTGGAAGCAGCTTCCTCCTCTTTCCGATCCGACAAGCCATCCCGGACCCCAAGCAGGAATATTTGTGAGTTCCCCCCCCCACCCCCACCGCATGCTACGTGGCTCTCACTCTGCTCCCTCTTCCTCACGCTAGCTGCCATTTGGAGTCACTAACACTTTGTCAGCCAAAGTTTTCTGTGCTTTGTTCAGCAATAAAAATCTGAGCTGATTCTTGCCCCTCTAGCAGCTGACATGGACGGCTTGGCTGTAGGTGTAGGGAAGGTTTGGACCCATGCGTGATTCGATTTATAGGCCAAATGCTGAGAGTTTCCTGCACCAGATACATGTGGTGAAGGCATTTGGATAATGTAACCTACACACATGGATATTCCGCCTTGCCCATGCAAGTCTCTGACCACAAAGGAAATGAGAAGCTCCTTTGGTGACAACCTGTTACTGTTACAAATGGCACATCCAGCTTCCACCCCTTCTTTTCCTTTTGGACTTCTGGGCTTTTGCAGTCACAGCAGCGCAGCCTGGAGCTGGTGACAGAGCCAATAATGCTTGGACATACTGTGCAGGGTTTGTAGCCTAATCTCTGAACAGAGGAGAGCAGTGGAGAGCTGGAGTGGTTCCCTTTTGAGAAGCTGTGGTGAGTTTGGGGTAGGACACTACAGATCAGTGGATCTGTTCAAGGGAGCAAAGAGAGCAGGGTCTTATGCTTGGCTCAGGCAGGAGAAGGGTCTGCTTGGAAATGCCGGAGTGGTTCTTGAACATGGGCGCATGGATCGGGCAGGTGAGAGATGGGGTTGGACTGCATTCGGTTTTGGGAGTTGTGGGCTAGGTTATGTCAAAATAGAGCTCCAGAGAGTAAGTTTGTGGGAGGGATGTCATTGCAGAGCCCAGGTCAGGGAGACTCTTGGCACGGGGTTGTGCCATGCTTCCTGCTGCATGTTCTCTGGTGTTGGGCTTGGCTTGGACGCTGGTTCCTCAGGCCAGCAGCTCACTTGCTGGTGGGGAATCTTTGGAGCTGGGAAGTGGCAGGGTTCATTTGGGAAGTCTTGTGAAAGGTGGACCTCCTGATGCTGCTGCTTGTAAGATTTCCCACATCTTTCTCCAGCCTTGGGTTACTACTTTCCTCTGGAAGCTTCATCAGAAACTCTGTCCCCAGCCCTTTAGAAAAGCATCTCATGCCTCCATCAGCCTGACCAGCTCCAGAGCAATGCTGGGTGGAGCTGCAGCCACAGAGCCTGGAAACCTGCCTAGGGCTGCAGTTGTTCCCCTCCGATACCACAGGCTGGGTTGCTTGGGCTCATGCAACAGGCAGCCCTGAACAGTTAATGGACCTTGGAGGCAGATCCCTGAATAGTCACTTAAAGTTACATCCAGGCCAGTCCTGGAAAGCATCTGGAGTAAAAGGCCAGGGTACAGGTAAAGAGGCAAGTGCTCTGAAGACCTGGATCCCAGCCTGTGGCCAACACACTGACTTAAACCCATTGTGAAATGCCCCAGGCGCCCTGGGTTTCCTTTTACCATAGGAAGATTTGTGACCTTGTGCCTTACTGTCCTCATCTATTACTATAAAAATGGTCTGAAGTCCTCTAAGAGTTGCTGCAGCATTGCACAGCCCTTAGGCCAGGTTAAGAGGCTGCCCCTTCCCCCGCTAGTCTGGGCTGGTGTTCAAGGAGGTAACTGGCACTCCTCTGGATTCTGCCCACGTGCGCCAAGCATCCTCCCTGGTCGTTTGGTAGAAGGTTGCACCTCTCTACTGGAAAACTTACATTTTCCCCCTCTTAGCAAGCGTGAAAAACTTTCTTTCCTTTCTGATTTAAGGGAAACAGCCTTGTTTTTATTGCATTTTCCTGCCTGCAGCTAACTTTCACTTGGCTGGAGTCTAGCTACCTTTTTTTATTAACTGGATGGAGTTCAGAGAGCAACCAACAGGGCTGGATTGAGGGGCATGGTGGGGGGGGGGCTGAGTTTTGAGGAAAGCCATAAAACAGATGCCTGGAGCAGGAGGGCAGGGAAGCCAGCAAACTGGTGGGGGCGGTCCCTAGGCTGCAGACTGGCTTGAACACTCGTCAGGGAGTTGTAATAGATTGAAAAGGCAAACCTGGGGCAGTGCACTCAGCCAGGCTCTTAAAACCAGAGCTGTACAGGAAGAAACTATTCTGCCTGGCAGGGAATGGACCTGCTGGGCTGGCATTGCCCTGGGATCTCGCCTCTGCCATGGACCACCAGTCAGAGCTCCCACCCTCTGCCCAGCAGAGGAGGATTGCAAGGAGAGCGGTGGTGACCAGGGAGCCCTGGGAAAGGCTGTTCAAAGTGTCTGGGTCCACATGAGCTGCCATGATCCAGGTGCCAGCCTCATTCTGCTCTGTCTCTCCCCAGCTCACCTGGACCAGCCCTGCTGCAAGGCGCTCTATGACTTTGAACCCGAAAACGACGGCGAGCTAGGCTTCAAGGAGGGCGACATCATCACGCTGACCAACCAGATCGATGAAAACTGGTACGAGGGCATGATCAACGGGCAGTCCGGGTTCTTCCCGCTCAACTACGTGGAAGTGCTGGTTCCGCTACCTCAGTGAAACTGCCTCCCCCATTCCCTCCCGCCCCCCCCATGTCATGCACCGCCAGGGAGAGAGGGGCACTGGGCTCCTGCGCTCCATCCTCATCTCGACACTAGTCCTCTTCCAGGGGCGGGGGGCATGAGAGCATGGTAGAGCCAACTCGGTGTCAGGTGATGAGCAGGGAACAAGCCACGAGGGCTGGGCGGCCCCCTCTGAACTGCTCTTCTGGTGCTTCAGCTCAGTACTTTAAGCCCTGCCAGGTTTGTCCTTGTCACTTCTGTCTGCAGGGGAGAGAGGGGCCTGCACTCTGCCCACAGATGAACATGGGAGGGTGCAGACTGTGTTGGCGCAGGGTGGGGGACCAGCAGGGTGTTGGCACCTCCGGTCTGCCATGGGAGAGGGTTTGGCCACCAGCCCCGCACTGTGAAGGAGGCTGGCAAAGTAGCAAGGACTTGCAGTACCAGCTGCAGCTTGGGTTGAGCAGGCTCCTGTTGAACACTACCAGCAAACGAGTTCCTGGGGAGGGGGCAGAGGTCAGGCACTGCTTATGTGCCCAAGGTTCACGTCTGTCCCAGCACTGTGGGGAACACTTCCTTCATGATGCTGGGCAGGGGAATGGCTTCCTTCCATCTTCTGCTGCCCCCGTTGGTCTGTCTTGCCCACCTGCCCCCTTCCTGGACAAGAAAAGAGCCCCACAGAAGGAGGGATCCAGAGAGACGCTATGAAGCAGCATGAAAACACTAAGCTGCTCCGAGGTTACTTCCCCTTCACATGTTCTTTGTGCCAGGCCTCTGTGCCCCTCTTCATGCCCTCCTCCTCTGTGGCCAGCATCTAACCATAATCTCTTCCTGGGCTGCTTTATGCTCATGCCCTGAGACTCCGTGGCTCTTTCAGGTGGGTAGAGTTGAATTGGTTCCTCTGGGAAGGTCTCTACCACCGGATCTGGCACTGTCTTTGGCATGGGATCATCCCCATGTAGCTGAGGCCAACCGTAGCTAAGGGGCCATCGACAGCAGACGAGCAGGTTGCGCTGAAGTAGCTGTTTAGACCATGCACCACTGACCTGTCCAGGATGCCCTCGTCTCCCTCCCTGTGTCACTTCATGTTCAGACGTTCTCCTTCCCCTCTTACGAAGCTCTGGAAATCTCCACGCAGCCCAGCCAGAGCTCACCCTGGGCTCCTTGGAGCTGTTCAGCAGTCTCCAGTCTAATCCTTATGTGCCTTTCCCAGCTCTTTTGAGCTCCTTGTCCTCCAGAGAGCCCCTTGGTGCAATGCAAGAAGCCGCCTACTTGCTAGGTTCATAGGCCTCTTAACTGGTCCTGTTGCTTCATTTCTTGTGTGTGAAGGTTGCGTGGGACAAGGACCTCTCTCCTCTTGTGTCACGTGTTTAGTAGTGGTCCTTTTCCCTTTTGCTTCCCTGCCTGGTGCCACCAGCTCTAGTCCGATGCAGAGAGAGCCGGGTCATGGTGGCAGAAGCCAGTGCTCCTGGCCCCAAGAACTGACCATGTACAGAATGAGGTGGTTCCACCAGGGATTGGAGCTGGGGGCAGCCTCCTGCCCTTCCCTATCTAAGGTGCTCCTCTCTGGGCACCCATCCTGTTGCTGGCAATAGGATAAATTCAACCCCTGAGGGTCATCCATAGCTCCTATAGCTGACCTGCTTCTCCAAAGTGCCTGGAAGCCAGGAGAGGCTCTGGACAGGGGATCCTATCTCACCAGCAGAGGTGGAAGTTCAGCTGCTCTGGCATTGACTGCACTCTTCCCCCCCCGCCCTTGCAGGGAGGGACTGGACTTGCCTGTGTGGGTGGAACTGAGTCCTAAATCCCATCCTGCAGAACACAGCCCTTCCTTTCCTTGAGCCCATTTGCTGTGAGGGAGCCAAAGCAAAGGGGTATCTCTCCTTCCTTCTGGGGTGTAGGTGGCTCTCTCTGCTGCTGACACAGCCGGGGTGGTGCAGTGACCTCGAAAGCCATGCTATGCCCAGGCTGGGCTTCCCCTCCTGTCTGCTGTGCCTAGCACAGGATCAGCACCACCTGGGCTGTCCCAGCAGCTGCTCCAGCTCACCACCACCCAGGCCTTGCTTCAGCACCTGTGTATTTATTTCATGGCAGTCCTCCCTGCCAGGCCTGGGCACCAGCCTGTATTTGCGCACGTGCCTCGGTGCTTCCTGCCCCTATCTGCTCAGTCTCCTGTTACGTATACACCAAGAACCTTTTTAACACTTTTAACCGTGCATGTCTATGTTTATTCTTCCCGTTGATTGCTGTCACCGCCACGACTCACAGCTGGGGCTGTGACCAGAGCAGGCTCGTGCTTCCAGTCACAGGCTCCCTGCCCCTACAGCCCTTCATGCCCCTGGGGCCTGATCCTGCTCTCAGGGAGGCAGTGGGGACAGGACCCAGCCCCCTCTACATGGTTGGAGGGAGGGAACTCTGTCCTGCCTGTTCCTCGCAGCAGAGCTGTCGCGCACACTGACACTGATGCGGAGGTCGGGACTCCTCCCTCTCCCAACCCGGTGGCCTGGCCCCGTTGCATCTCTGAGCTCTGGCGTAGGCTCACTTGGGTTGAATGAGTCTGTGTTTAGTCAGGACAATTTATTAGGTCTCCTTTTGTAATGGCATTTCCTTGTTTTAAGGGGAAAGGTCACAACTCTGGACTTGTAACCGCTCAATAAAAGTATTAAATGGGGTTTTCTTCTTTCTAAAGCATTTGCCCTCTTCTTGAGCAGCAGGGAGGGGCCTTGCAGCCAGGGCATGGGGAGGGGGCAGTCACCTGCTTAGCAGGGAGGGCAGTGGGGAATGTGCAGGGGTGCCTCCTCATCACTCAGCTGCAGCAGGCTTAGGGGAGCAAGGCAGACCCTGCAACTGAGGGCAGGGAAGGTGGGCAAGCACCCTTAGCATTGATGGTGTCACCTTCCAGCAGATGCATCCTTGGGTGATGGAGGCTGCAGACACCAGCACCAAGAAGGTGTCTGCAGGGAGGCTGTACTCCTGGGATATGGGCAGGGATGGAGCGATTTGTTTGCTTGGCTGAGAGGCCATGGGCTGTGGCTGCAGATGGAGTAGGAGCTGGCCCCAGCCATGTGCCCTTTAGCCCTGCCCACAGAACAGCCATCACACCAGGGCACTAGATTGCTTCTCTTTAATCAACTACCACGTCCACAATAACTTACAGCCAGAGAGAGGCTCCTCCGCAACCCGCCCTGCTACACTACCAGCACTGCCAAGGCACCAGAGCAGCTGTCCACATGCACCCTGGCACTGGGCTGTGTTGGGCAGGCGCCGGCCCCTTTGGGGAAAGCAGCCAGGGCTTTAGTGAGGGTCTCTCCCCTCCATGCCCTCAGTCACCAGCAGGGCCTGGACCTGGGCTTTCCACTAACAAGCTTCCTAATGAGTCACTCAGGCTCTGATGAGCTACATCCCCCATGCAGGGGCTGCTGTGCTGCTTGCTCAGGGCACCAGGCCGGTTTCCACATACAGCGAAGGCACCAGTCTGCCATCAGCTCCTGCCTGGCTCA